TTTTTTTTTTTTTTTTTTTTTTATTAGCCTTCGACATTTATATCATTATAGCTCAACAATTAATTATTAAACTTAAAAACTACTATTTACAATAAAAAAGAAAAATAATATAGAACAGAAAGAAAATCTTAAATACTACAGAGATAAATACAATACTAAATAACAAATCCAGATGAATGAATAAAGGAGATTAGATTATTGATAACGGCGGGGGGTTTTGAATTCAGGATATTAAAACTATTAATAGGAGAGATATTAAGGGAGCAAAGGAAATTGAAAAAAAGTAAGCGATCCTGTTGTAGGGCTGGGCAATCAGTTAATAGATGACTAAAATTGCACGGGACTTCGTCATTATGTTTGGGGCAAAATGGAGATTGGTTAAGGGACATTTTGTAGGAATGGTAAGGTAAACAATTATGGCCGGATCTGAGGCGGGAGAAAGAAATAATATGGAAGCGAGTGAGGGGGAGATTGAGAAACCAAGGATATTTTGGTATGACTGGTACTATGGACTTGTGCCATTTAGCAAGAGAAGATTTAGACCATTTATTTTGCCATGCTTTATAGATTGTGAAGTGAATAGAGGGAAGGAGGTCTGAGGCGGGAATTTTAAGAATGGGTGTTCGGTTGAAGGCATTAGTGAGTTTAGCTAGTTGATCAGCAATCTCATTACAAGCGATTCCGGTGTGACTCGGACACCATAAGAATTCAACGTTAATATTAACTAAGTAAAGGCTGTAAATTAAATCTTTAAGTTTTAATGTTAGAAAGGATCTACTTTTTTTGAAGGGTGCTGAGTAAAGGGAGGATAGGACTGATAAGGAGTCGGAGACGATTAGGACATTTGGAGTATTGAGCGATCTGGTGAGTTCAAGGGCTGAAGATATAGCATAACACTCCGTGGTAAAGGAGCAAGCCTCTGGAGGGAGATTATCTGAGTAATTGATGTGTAGGGAGGGTATAAAAAAGGAGAAGCCGGCGGAGTTAGAATAAACTGAGCCATCAGTGAATATGAGGCAATAGTTGGCAAAACGAGAGGAGGTGATTTCGTTAAAAATATTATTTACTAGTGTAGTAGGAAAGGATTGTAATTGAGGCTTGCTATAAGGGAGAAACTGGTTAAGGTGAATCTTTGGTAAATGTATTAGAGCTTGAAATGGGACGTCATATAAAGGTAGACGTTTGGTAGAGGTAATTATGGAATTTAAGTAAGGGATCAAAGTAGTAGATACGGAGGCAAGAAGAGGAAGTGATTTGGGTACATATCGCCAGAGCGTACTGAGCGAATGAAAGCAACGGAATATTGGATCGTTAGGGTTGGATAACTGTTTTAAAAGGAATTTATAGGCTAGAGAGCGAGAGCGAATTTCAATGGGAGGACATACACATTCTACTTCCAAGCTTATGTTGGGAGTGGAGTATACTGCACCTATAATTGTGCGTAGGCAATTGGAAAGTAAAGAGTTAAGTTTTTTCCTGTGAACAGCGGAAGCAGAGGAGTATAAAAAGGAACCATAGTCTACTTTAGATCGGATGAGAGATTTAAATATGAGAAGGAGTGAGGAAGGGTGGGAGCCCCACCAGGTACCTGCAATGGAGCGTAGAAGATTGGACCAGCGTGATATGGAAGAGTTGAGGTATTTAAAGTGGGGCAACCAACGGAGTTTTTGGTCGAGTTTGAGACCAAGATATGTAACACAGTCAGAGAAAGGTAAACTTACACCGTCTAAAGAAATTTGAGGAGATTGTAGGATGTGTTTTCTAGTAAATATAATAGCTTTGCTTTTTTCCGGGGCAGACTCAAAAAAGGAGAACTGGAGAGAAGAGGAAAGGATCTGGAGTGCGTTATTAATATTTGCTTCAGTAACCTGAAGTGAGCTATGCGAGGAGAAGATGACTATGTCATCAGCGTAAAATAAGCTAGAAAAATTATCAGAAGTGAGCGATTTGCTTATATCTGCAGTGTAAATGTTGAATAGGATAGGACTAAGGCAGCTACCTTGAGGAAGACCTTTATAAGTAACACGTTGGTGAGCGGGTCCAAACGGTGAGTTAAAGTGAAGGAAGCGGCATTTAAATAAAGAAAAAATAAATTTACACATTGGTACAGGAATTTTGATGGAAAGTAGTCGAGAAACAAGTAGAGGAATGTTAACGGAGTCAAAAGCACCCCGAACGTCAACAAAAGCAGCTGTAGTAAATTGTCGATTACAGAATGAGTGGTATACGGAGCCAACAAAGGAAGATAAGCATTCCATTGTGCCTAGACCGCGACGAAAACCAAACATGTTATTTGGTAATAGAGAATTGGATTCTAGATACCAATCTAGACGGGTTTTCAACATAAACTCTGTTAATTTACAGAGGGAAGATGAAAGGGCAATAGGACGATATTTGTTAGTAGCTGCGCCACTTTTAGGAACAGGTATGACTTTGAAGTTTTTCCAGGACTGGGGAATGATATTGTTCATCCATAAATCGTTTAAAATAGTTAAAAGGATGTCAAATGCTTTTATTGGAAGGTGTTTAAAAAAAAGAGGAGAGATATTGTCTAAACCAGCAGCATTAGATCTCCTAGAAGAGATAGCTAAGGAGAGCTCTTGGCGACTAAAAGGAGAGATAAGGAATTCACTACTATAATCATTTGATACATTAGCAGAAAAATTTAATTCTATTTCATTGTATGTAGGAACATATGGAGGTGCGATTTTATCGCAAAAATTGTCGAACCAGACGTTGTTGGTGGTGGGAGTGGGACGATTTGAAAAGTTTTTGAATTTTTTGGCTAATTTCCAAAATTCAGATATGGGTGTTGATGGATGTAGGTTACTACACATTTTTAACCATGAGTTTTTTTTTTCGTTTTTTAAAATTTTTTTTGTATTGGATTTCGACTTTTGATAATTGATGTAGTCATGGAGAGAACCTGACGATCTATATTTTTTGAAGTGAAAGGAGCGTGTTTTAACTGCAATTGTGCAAGATGGGTTCCACCAAGGAGGAGAAGGACCAAAATTTTTTTTCTTTGAATGCTTAAGTGGAATTGAAAGTTTTGCCGCTCTCAGCAAAATATTGACGAAATTATTATAATTATCTGTAGGGGAAGTGGATGGAGACCAAGATTCAATTAGAGTAGAGACAATTAAAGAGAAAGAGGTCCAATCAGCTAAATCTAAATTAAACCTTGAATTATCTGGAATATTTGGAGAAGAGTTATTGTTAGAGTGTTGTGGATCATTAGTGAGTTGTATGGAGATGTTGGTAATTATAGGAAAGTGATCACTACCGTGAGGGTCATCTAAAACGTACCAAGTGGAGGACAAGGAAATATTGGGAGAACATATTGTTAGGTCAACAGCAGTATCAGGGAAAGGTGGTCTATTGGCTCTGGTCGGATAACCTGTATTAAGGATACAAAAATTATGCTGAGCAATGGTAGTATGAATAATATTGCCTCTATGGTTGGATATTTGTGACCCCCAAGCAGAGTGATGACCATTAAAGTCTCCTGCAATTATGGAGTTGTTAGAGAGTAGTTTGAAAATTTCGGAAAAAACTTGAGTTGATGGATTGGCTGAAGGAGGTATATAAATAGACCATAATTGAAGGTTGTTATTGTTTGGCATTAATACATTAATGCCAACTAAGTCTATAGAAAAAGAGCCAAGCATTTGTCTAATGTCATTATTAAGAGTTATGGAGCGGAATTGGATTGAGGAATGAGATAGAATGGCGACACCACCATAACCATCTTGTCGATCAGACCGGACTGTGTTGTAATTTGGAAGAAGAAAATGTTTATTTGGAAGTAGCCAAGTTTCAGAGAGTAAGGCGATTTGGCATTTATTTTGATGAATTAGGTAAGAAAGGTCCTGTGTTCTAGATAAGATACTTCTTATATTCCATTGTAGAATATTAAACATGTAGTTTTAATGGTAATAAGGAGAAAGAAAAAAATAAAAAATAATAAAAAAAGATTGTTGAAAAATGTATACAGA